CTGCTCACCTTCCCTGCTCCATCCACCACCCCTCCAAGGACCAGGCACCTCTGCCTGCAGGCAGGCACAGGACTGGATGCCCAGGAACCATAAACACTGCAAAGTGCTGGAGTCAGCACGATCGCTGAATTTTGCTTCCAACATCTGCAGCCCAATAAATCTTTGTCTCCTTCCAGTGAACTGTGCTCCCGCTTGGGCTCCGATTTCCATCCCTCAGCACTGTCCCCACAGCAGCACGGGCCCCAGCCTGGGCCACCACCCCTCGGGGCCAAGGGGAGGGCGAGGGACCCTCCCTGGGCAGCCCCGAGCGGCCGCAGCTCCCCGGGCGCGGTGACCACCACTTGCCTTGTGCCAAAAGCCTTCTGCTCACCAGACCTGCACCGGGCTTTTTTTTTTCGTTTGTTTTAATTGTTTTCAAAACAGATTTCATGTGGTCCCAAAATGAGACCATGATTGTAAATTAAAGTGTAATTAGCCTTTACGCTTTTATATTCATTAACTCTTCTCTGTTAATGATGCAGAGGCTGGAGCACAAACCCGGCATTATGAAACCACATCCAGGAAATAAAATAGTGATTTAGATAATGGCCAGAATGTATTGCTGCTTACACATAATTAAACAAATGCTCAATTTACACTTGGAAACATGAATGAATGTTGATTAACCCCAGCCCAACGACTGTGCTGGCTCGGTGGCTCGGCGCGGTTCTGCCGGGCAGGGCGGGCAGTGCCCGCTCCCCTCAGGGCCCCGCCGCCCTCCCGCACCTGCCGGGCCCAGCTGCGGCCCCGCCCGGGCTCCGCGGGCTCTGCGGGCTGCTGCCAAAAGCCACCCCTGGCGCAGGGGTGACACCGCCACACGGCTGCTGGCAGGGCCAGCGCTGTGTGCCCAGGGAGCCGCGGGACAGCTCCGGCCGAGGGTGCCCTGCCGGGGGCAGGCCGCTCCCGCACAGGCTTTGTCTCCCGTCCCCTGCGCCTCCTGCCCTCCAAACGTGCCAGTTACTATGGAGACATCTCCTTCTCTGCGCAGGAGGAGCCTGAGACCCCTCGAGCAGGATAATGCTCAGTTTTTGTGCAGAGCCGGGGAGCCAGGGCTGGGGGCCAGGCCCCTCCGAGCAGCGCAGCCCTGCCCGGCCCCACAGCCAAGGCCGGGGCCCACGGGGGCCGGCAAGAGGTGCCAGTCCCCACGGGCTCCTCTGCCTCAGCAGCTGGGCTTGAGGCACAGGCTGAGTGCAGGGATGGCTGCTGGATCCAGAGCTGGATCCAGTGCCAGGCAGGGCTCTGTGCCATTTCCTGGTGAGGATGGCTGTCATGCTGGTCACAGGGAATCCCTGTGCAGGCATCAGGGGAGCAGCAGTTGGGGGACGTCCCCTGGGGAGCTCTGGGGCCCAGCGAGCCATTCCCCACCTCAGTCTGGCTCCAGGCTGCCCAGGGCAGCTGGCAGCATCCCCGCTGCTGCCCTCCTGAGCCTCCCTGCCCCCTCACCGTGTGGTGCCAGTGCTGGTGCGATGTGTCCAGACCCAGTGTGGTGTGTCCAGAGCTGGTGTGGTGTGTCCAGACCCAGAGTGGTGTGTCCAGACTCAGAGTGTTGTGTCCAGACCCAGTGTGGTGTGTCCAGACCCAGTGTGGTGTGTCCAGACCCAGTGTGGTGTGTCCAGAACTCTGCTCCCACAAACCCTGTTCATGGATCGCTGCCTCAACAGGCCATAATGGCTCCATCCATCGGGGTCAATACGGGTGCCTCTGACACATGATAGACAATAATTGCTCTTTCTTAGAGACTTTTTAGTTCATGGATCATTGACCTGATGGGCTGCAGCAGCTCTGAGAGAGGCTGCACAGCCCTGTGCTCAACCACCCTCAGGAGCAGGCGGCTCTGTACAGCCACGGCATGGGCACACAGAACACAGTCCTGCCAAATCCATGCTCCCAGTGCAGGCTGTCAAGGGCCCTGGGGCCACTGGAAGCCCTTCTGGTAGCATGGCCATGGAGGAGAGGCCGTGGCAGGAGGCACAGGAGCCTAGGAGAAAAGACCAGTGCAGCCCAGGATCCCTCGAGCAGCACGGACAGAACCAGGATGCACAGGACCAGGTCACCTCCCAAGCTCTGCAGGCTGGAGATCCCCACTCTGACAGCAACTTCCAGGTATATGATTTAATGAAAGGCACAACAAGAAGTGAAACAATTAGAATTTCTGCCTCATTATCATGGTAATCTTATCAGTCGGATAATGAGGTATTAATGGAGATTTAATGTGCCTCTCATAACAGAATCCCTTGGAGAAAACACATAAGGAAATTGCTGTAAATCCACTTAATGATGGAAAGGTCCCCAAACACCATATTCCAGAGGATGAAAAATGCTGGATGCAAATGAGAGAGAATCAAGGTCAATAACACTGCGGGGACCAGGCTCACAGCACCGTCACCACCGCACCCGCCCTGGCCCCGCCCGCAGGGCTGGGCGGGTACACGGCAGCTGAAGAAATTCTCCTGTCTCATCAGGAAAAAGGAACATTTCCTAAGAAAAAAGATGACAAACATACTCCTTTTGGACTCGACTATTCTCAATAAGGCATCAAACAGCAGCCAGCAGAGGGACACGCACAGTCCTGCTGCAGACAGAGCTATTTTTCTTTCCTCTCAAGCTACCAGAACAGCTAAGCTGCAGATTCAAAATAGTAACTGAAGAGCTCTGAGTTAAGCAGTCAGTGCAGTGGAGCTTCCTCTCCCCTTTACTGGAGTTTGGTTCTTTTTTGCCAATGTCCCTTCCCCGTGAGGTGGAAGGATGGAGCAGAGCAGCAATGCCCAACACAAAACCACAGAGTTAGTGGGAAGCTGATCACGCTTGCACTGCCATCCCCAGCACAACTGCTGATGGCACTGGAACAAGGCAGAAACGTCAAAGCCAGGCGGTTAAACTGCTCTCCTTTTAATCAGTTTTTACAGAATAATACATTAATAATCACGTTAAGAGACAAGATGGGGTTCCTGTATACAAGATTGTGCAAGCTTGTTAATTTAGATTTATAAAGGCTTTACCAAAGAGGAGAGGCAGTACAAAGCTTTTCAATAGAGGTAAAGCACAATTAAAAGGTACAGAACACACACTACTAACTCAGCAGAGGTTAATTCTCAAGTAGTACAGGCTCAACCATGTTCCCAGCTGCACCCAGACACGAGCATCCTTCCCTCCGTCCCCACTGCCCTCCTGCTGCTCCAGCTCTCCAGGCACACTGACTCACTCGTGCCAACACACAGCTCTGCTGCCAGCAGCTCTGCCCCCTCCTACCCCCTTCCCCCACCCCATTCCCATGGCAGTGAGTTCTCCAATTCTGTGAGAATTTGGCTTAACAGAACAAGAACATTTTCAAGCAATACAAACCAACACTGTGCTCACCAGGCTCACCCACAGGAAACAGCATCATGTTTGTGGCTTTTTTTCCTGAAGTTTATGGCAGTTACATTCAGCATTTGGTAGTAAAAGGTCTTCAAAACAAAAACTTTTAAACTCAAATCCTTGACAGGCCAGACACATTCTGATTCTCCTTAAAGAGGATTTTTAAAAGGTTTAAAGAGAAATCTCACTTAGGAGCACAAAGGAATCTCCTAAAGATGAAAACCCCAGCCCTTTCCTTTCCCTCCTCTACCAAAAAAGGAAACCAACACCTCTGTAGCATTCCCAGGCACAGACATGGCATTGTTTAACGGGGCAGTTCCTCAGAACGTGCCAACAATCTGTGCTGAGACAATGACCAAGCCTGGAGTCCACGACTGTGACCTCTTACCAAGGACCTCTCCCTGCTCCGCTTTGCCCAAAATGTTCCATTCCTCCTCCACTGGCTGAAGTAGTTTAATTCACAGAAAGCACTGAGGTTACAGCAAAAGGCCCGTGGCTGGCACCTTTTGGCAGCAGTTCTGGTACTTTTGGTCCTTTATGCAGTGTCTCTTCACCTTTGCTATTGCACATCAAACCTAACAACATCACCTCCTAGACAAGGAATTTAGCATTTTAAAACAAAACATTACAGGACACCGGGGAAAACAGTAAAACAGACATTACAGGCAGGTTTTTAATTCTTTGGAAAGCCTAATTCTCTAACTACACCTATCAAGACTATATAAAGGACCTTCAGAGTAGGCTGGAAAAAAGAAGCAAAGGACCATCTTGCTACAAAAACTCTCAGCTCACCTGGGGCTCACTGAAACCTACCGGTTTTAGAATAACTAAGTAACATTTTAAAAAAGACTCCAGTTCTTTTAAGTATTTTTCTATGCAGAGAAACCAAGTGATAAAAGCTGTGAAGGAAATGGTTCTTGCCCCTTCCATAAAGGAGAGTGAACCTGAAAGCCCCAATGGTGCTGACCAAACCCCATGAGCCAGGCCAGCACAGAGAGGCAACACAGAGGGTGATCACCACCTCCTGCATCCTTGTGCCTTCTTCAGGGATCCTACAAATACTCTCCTCAACCAACACCCAAACTGCAGAACTTTCACACATCAGTCTTAACATCTCGGATATTCAAGTAATTATTACATATTACAGGACACTTCAATAAAAATGAATTTATATTGCTTTTTGATATGATCTGGCCATATCTTCAAGGGCAAGTTTGTGCTTTGCTGCAGGGCTGTGCTTGCAATATTGAGTTATGTTCAGCACCAAAAACCCATCAAGGCTAAATAACCAGAATATTGCAATGCTACACAGACTGAGACACCAAGTAAGGCAGATCAGAAGAATTCTGTTTTGACTGAGTATTGCTCCTCCACACATTCGAGTCTCTAATAGAGGAGAAAGACTAATAAGAAAAGGAAAAGGTTACCATCCCACATTCTCACCTGTGATTAGTTTGGCAAAACTACTAGATTGAATTATATCTGAGAGCCCTAAAAAGTAAGTTTCCTGATTATGCCTTGACAAGTAGCACAGCCAAATCAAGCACTCAATACTTTACATAAGTTGCTCTAATGCCAATTAATCACATGATTTTTCCAAGTACTAGTTTCTTACAGGTTTTAATCATCAAAATGCACACACACACACAGAATGAACCAATTGTGTTTTGAAAAGAATGTGAGAAAGATTTTGTTTTCTTTACTACTCACAGACTCCAAGTCTTACCACATCCCTATGTCAGAAGTGCAATGAACACTCTGGAAAGAGCAAGAAATAATACTGACATGAAAAAGTTCAATGCTCGCTGTCCTTTTTCACTGTATTGAAGCTGAAAAAGAGCAGCAAGTGGTTATATACAGCCAACACCCACTGGCCATGCCCCAGACCACTTCACTCATGAAAAACCCATGTGGTGTTGTGCATAAAAACCTCTTCAAATTGATAACTGTCAGTTTAAGGGGAAGGTGGGGTGAGAAATCTATAAAACACCCTGAACTGATGTCATGATATGTTTCATAAAGAACAGTGTTATATTATTTTAAAATATTTTTTATGAACAGTAAAACTTGCACTGCTGCATAGCAGACAACACGAAGAACATTTAGTAAAAACATTCACTGAACCCCCTGGCATATGTATTTAATGTCACTAATCAAAATATATATTACAGCCCAAGGTTCTGTTAAGGATCTCTGTTTGGGGTTTGTACAGTATACACAATAGCTCAGAAAAAATATTACAGTAAGGTATTTTATTTCTCCTTTTTATATTAGACTTCTCTATTGTAACTTACAGTCCCTCTCCTCTATATATCCAAACCTCTGTAACACCCTAATGCCCTAGCCAAGAAGTGTTCAGCTAGCTAATAAGCCTTGTTATAAATTCCAGTTTTAGAAATTTCAGTAATCTTAATTACATCTTAATAAATAGTTCAGTTTGCCCTTTTAAATCTTAGCCTTTTGAGGAAGTCCTTGTGTCACCAAAACATGGTACATCACAACCTGTTAGAGGTCAGAGAGGCTTTTGCTTGTTTATTCAAAGGATAGTAAGTCCAAAGATACTTGCAATGCATTAAATATAATTATATAATATTTACACTGTCCTCACAGATTTTAAATTTAGATGAAATATAACCAATAATTGATGTCACCTACTACAAACTTTCAGTGTGGCTGGTGTTTTCTTAATAAAAGGTGTATTCAACTAGAAAGTTTACTATGTGGCTGCCCTGATTCCTCATTTCAGTTTTCTGTTAGAAATTAAATGAAGTGGATTATTCACATAAGAATTCAGGAAGAGGGGTGGTGGAGAAAACATGAAGAATTTTCTGAATGTTTTGAGATTCCAAAATACCTGAAAACTGTGGTCCCTTTTGCAGTGCCAGTATCTAAAGGGGAGAAAAACGCAACCCAGAGAGAAGAGGAAAACCTGTTAAATTAATTAGATTAGTAAAGGTGTGTTTTAAAATGCCTCAATTCTGTACAGTATTTTACAAGGAAAGTCTTTTCTTCAGCTTTTATAGCTGTTGTACATTCTTAGAAACTCCTCTCCTGTCCACAGGCTGCCTGTGCTGTGCGAGCTACTTGCGATCATCGATGGTTTTGATGAATTCCACGGCTGCCGTGAACTGCATCCACCAGTACGACTCCTCTCCCGACAAGCAGTTGGCATAGAAACTGCTGATGTACTGCACAGTGGACAGCAGGCAAGGGGGGTTTGCCTGGGGTGGGAGATGAGAGAGAGATACTCACAGCTTGTTCACAAAGCTCAACATCAACAAACGCCGCAAGATACAGAACAGAAACACAATTCCCTTTGTGCAGTGATCCTCATCCTACAGGGTATGTAACCCACTGCAGGGTAGGGACTGTTTATCCTCACCAGCCCCACTTCACACGCTCACAAAGCATCAGGTTTGATGAAAGGAACATTTTTCCAACAAGGAAAAATGACTATCAGGCCAAGAGAAAGAAGGGGAACACTGGCACAATCTGTGAAGGTCATCAGGACCTCAACACATGTAAAGCCTGTTGTTTCAGCACGTTACGCTTCAGACCATTCTCCACTCATGTCAAAACAAACCAACAACACAACCCAAGTCACTCCTGGTCTGGATCTTGGTCCTGAGGACAGCACGAAGCAGTCAGAAGACAGATGCTGGTGGACATGCCTCAAACAAACTCTACTCCACACACAACATCTGCACCCCAATTTCCTTGGTTCCAAATGCAAAGTTTGCTTGGATTCAAAAACCGTAACTCTGACTCATTTCTGACATTTCTATTCAAACCCTGCTGAAGCAGATTTGGGTTTGAGCCTGGCCAACTCCCCATGACCCACAGGCATTATCTCTCCTCCTAAATTTGCTTGTTTATTACTAGAATTCAATTTGTGATCTCTGCAAAGAACTCACCTTTATGAGGACAAAGACCAGAACAGGAACAAAATCATCTGCCCCAGGAACAGAATCCTCGTTGGCCAGACTGAGCAGGTTCATGATGGTGGAGCACATCCTCAGGATACACTGCACCTTGTCCCGGGGCGTTTTGTAAGCGCTTATTGTGCGGATCTCGGACTGTGCCGATGGCCACGGTGCCTCCCGGAGATACACCTGGGGAAAAACCAACCCAGCCTGCATTTGGACAAGCCACTGCTGTGCACCACAGAGGAGCTGATGTACTAGAGGCTCACAGGCTTTGCAGAAATGGGAAGCTTTAGGGCAAGATGAATTCAAACTGAAAGAGGGAGGTTTAAGTTATATATATGGAAGAAATGGTTTCCTGTGAAGATGGCGAGGCCCTGGCACAGGCTGCCCAGGGCCACAGCATGGGTACAGCATATTTTTCCTGCAGGTATTTCAGCTGTCACAGACAACAAAGCAAGCCTTCTAAGTGTAAAACAGAACAATCCTCTCCCCATCCCAATCCCAGTCCAGCCCCAGCACACACATACAGAAGCAAAGGAAAAGAGTTGTTACCTCAGGTATCTGAAGTGCCTTGTGGTTTGCAGTTACTACTTTGGATAACCTCTGTATGTGCTCGTGAAGGACCCTGAAAACACAAAAAACAAGAGTGAAAAGTAAGCAGCAGTCAGCCAGCTGAGGTAACTTGTTTCATGTTTGATAGAACAAGAATGATCTTCAGGAATGTGGCCCTACAGATGATGGACACCAGGTCAGTGAAGATGCAGAGGATTGTTCTGTACAGCCAAGAACAACTATAAATCTTCTAAAGCATCCCAACATAATCTGTTCTAAACCTCAGGAACCCCAAATGCATGGAAAATACTGACCGAAAGCAGTAAATGGACCAGGTCCAGTCCTGAACCAGGTTTTGATCATTCTCTCAGCACACACACTTGCAGACCTGACAGTCTGTATCCCAAACCATTACACTTACAACTATTTTTTTCCTGTTCTAGCAGTTTGTTGCAAACACATTTGCACAGGATGCTAAGGCCCTTCCTCATTCTTTTACAAAATGTTCTGAACGAAAACATGAATTTGCGTGGCTGACTCACACAAGTCTGTCACAGGAGGGCTGCACAGCTTCCATTGCACCAACTGCAAAGGAGAAAACAAGTCCTTTGAATTCCATTAACTTACTGGTCACGCAAAATATCTCCATCCTGATTAGGGTAGAAGGCGAGTTTGAAAATGCGATTCATCACACTGCGCTCTATGGCTAATTGTGCATCCTGGAGCTGCTCCTCACTGGCATTCTGCCATATGGCATCCTGAGCCATAGCCCCATACAGGAACTGGAGAAAATCCTCTACTTGGGCTGTTTTATCATCTGCTGCCGTGAGTTTCTGGAAATCTGATAAAAAGGAGGAAGAGAAAGAACATTTGCTTAAGTTAAAAAATATTATTTCTTCTAGGTTTTTCAGGGACATTTAATGTGCAGCACTATATGCTCCAGGAGCAAGAACTGACACCAAATTCCTTATGTGCTTCATTTAGTCAGATATGTGCACTGAGAACATAGAACCAGTTTGGTATAAGTGACTATTTTGAATTTCCTGGTGCCACTGTCTCTTATGCTGTGATATTTTTGAATCTTTGATTCACACTATTATTATCCCACATGTCTTCTAAGGTTCAGCCATAGGTTCTGGACTAAGAATTGAATGCTGCAACTTAATTTATCATTATCAGTAGATATTAGTAGATATAAAATAATTAATAGTATTCATGCTTCTGCCATGGAGCAGATAATGTGATTTAGCATAACTTTTTCAGCCAAGTAAGGTCAAATTACCTTCATTCTCTCAGCCCATGAAAAATGCAGACAATTACCATAGCTTAGCTGCCACAACATATTGTAAAGGCACAGTAATCTGTCTGTTTAGCCATTAATTCACCATCTGAAATTAAAGTAATTTTAGGAATCTACTCTTCAGATCAAAAGACATATTTTAAAACATTAACCCAAGTCAGCACCTAAATACGGAGTAAAGGAATATAAAAACTTTGGTCTCCATTAATCTTACCTTGAATGAACTCCCTTATTTTCTTTTCCTTGCTCTCCAGCAGTAACCTCACACAGACTGTAGTGAAGTATCTGTTGGCCACTTCTTTATCTCGCAGGACTCTCTGTAAGAGCCTCTCCAGGTGCGCCTGTGTTGTCTGCAGGCCTTGGCGACAGCGAGTTAAATAAGCGATATATGGAGCTCTTTTCCTAAAGCAAAGAGCTCTACATCAGATTCACAACAAAAACAGAGGCTAACAGCTTTACAGACTGCTGAGTCATAGTGCAAAGGATTCTTCCACTTGTTGCTTTTAAAATAAAACAATGCCTGAATTCGGAAGCTTGCCTCACACAGGTGAGCAAATTGCATCCTTTTGTGGGGACGCAGAGATGCAATAACCTGGTTTGGTAAAGCACAATTTAAAACAAAAGGGATCTTCCCAATCTGCTGCTGAATAAACACATGAATTTGGGAGCCCACTGCTGATGGGACACCGGACAAGCTACCTGTAGTCCTCTGCAATGGAGGCCAGCAGCTTGCGGCAGGTGCGGTTGTCGAAGCGGCTCACGCAGCGCATCGTCTCCTGCAGCTGTGCCATCAGGTTCTTGTCCTGCAGGTTGATGGCTTCAGCCAGCTGAACTTTCAAGAAGCACACAATTTCATTATCTAACAAAGAACAAAGGAAAAATATTAAGGAAAAGAAATGCAGCCAAGATGAAAATAAATTATTTTTGAATATGGGAAACACATAAACAGTTTAAAACAAAACTTCTGTACATTAGGGAATCAGTGTTATTTTAGAGCAATTTAATAAGCCTTTCTGAATTTTCCAGCTGTTAGAGGATAGCTTGCATATCACTATCTTATCTAGTATTAAGAACCATTCTGAAAGTGAAGAGGACCAGATAAGGTGACATATTCTCCTGTCTGCAAATAAACCAAGAGTGAATAAAAGGATACAACAAAACACATTTATACTAAGTCAACATAAAGACCCAGTAAATCATTCAAGCAGCAAAACTCCTAACAGCACATGTATTTTGAGAGTCTGTTCTATAGCTCCAGGCTCTACCTGCATTGTATTTGTGATACTTCATTACAAAAAAATCTTAGACCAGGCAGAGATGGCAGTTTGTCTGTGGAGTAAGAATGAAAACACTCTGGGGGCAGAAGGCAGCCTGTGCTCTCAGTATTTATGGCAAAGAGAAGGGACCATAAATGGTGCAGTGCAAGTGCCATTACATGGGGACAAGGAGAGACACACACAGCACAGAGCCTTTACCTTCAGGGTCTGTGTGGTCTGGGAGACCATTCCTTGTTGAATGTGTCAGCATTGGGAGGGCAACAGAATCTGCTGAACAGAGAGCCAATCTCAATTTCTTCTTTGCATCCCTTAAAGAGGAAAAATACTTCCTTAACACAGTTGATGAGAGGTCTACTTCTTCAAAAAGCAGAATTGAAGATTTCTCTTCAATTCTTTTTTTAATACTGCCTAGAAGTTATTTTACATCATTATAATATACAACATTCTCAAGACTTTAGAATATCAGTTCTTTTGATACAGCACTATTTTCAAAGGGATTTTCTTAAACATCAAATTGCACTGTCCTCTTTGGTTACAACATCCCTCCTTCATCAGTGGAAATATGACAGTTTGAGATGGTTTAAACTACAAGCACATTAAAGTTTACAATGAATCTATATTAAGATTCTTGTCCAGTCACACAGTTTCAGCTTTTAATTCTACTTTGTGGGTAAGATAAAACCTGCAAATATATTTACCTGTAGGAGAAAGCAGAACCTTGTGGCTGTGCTACTTGACTTGCAGAGTCTGGGAGGTCATCTGCAGACATGTTCTGCAAAGCCTCATCCCGTGGGGAGTCATGCATGCTCTCACCATCCCCAATGGCCTCTGTGGAAACAAAAACCACATTATACCTCAAGAGAGGAGTCAGAAGAAGAAACCAGACTAATTTTGTGCTTGTTATTCTAAGGTCAGGGAGAGAATGGAGACAGCAAATAAACCAGCTTGTTCTGGATATATGAAAAAGGGCACATTAAAACATACAACCTAGAAGCTCCTAAGAAGAAACTGCAAAAGTTTTGGAAGGCACTTCTTCAGTGTCATTTAAAACAAAACAAAAAACTGGTAGGAGATGTGCTATCAACATCAGCTCCCTCAATGGCAACACGAAAGAGCTGTCCTTGGGAATACTGATTTAATTCCCAGCCTCTGAGGGATTGTCCCACAGATTATTTGACAAAACATTCCTTGTTCAGAGCTCACATTGTTCAGCTGCTAACACTAACATTGGTCTAGAATACTGAAGTGTTTTTGAAGTCTTTAAGGAGCAGAAGCTATGTTTGTGGTGATTACAAAAGCCAGGTTCTCACCTGCACTGTCGTAGTTCACTATGGCTCCTTCGCTGGGACTTGTTCTCTTAATTGCATTCCTGTATTTGTCCAGAATGTCCTCAGCAGCTTGTGCCTGTGCACTGAGCCTTGGGCTGGGATCATCTGAAAGGACCATAAAAAGCAACCAGAGTTACCCTGGTGTTGGGCCAACTGAAAGCAAATACAAAAACTTAATTCTACACATTTAGCCTCTTGTTTTTAGCCCAAATAAACAAAGAGCTGCTTGTGTTCCATGTGGCCCAAATTCAAATGTATTAATAAAGCCTGAAGCAAACCAGAAAACAAACAATAAAATCAAAGTGAACAAATAAGGTCAGATCCTGAGCAGATCTTCAGTACATTTATACTGCATACACAAACAGCTCTTGGATATTTGAAGACTTCTAGAAAGGATCAGGCAAACAGAAAACAAAACACCCAGGTTCAAAGCAAAGTTAAGTAATTATTGCAGGATTGTGAGTACAGCTATCCTTAGAGCTCAGCTGTGACAAGGACAGGCGCTCTATAATAAGGGCAGGGGAAAAGTGAGGACTTGAGTTGAAAATCCACTGCATGCACCAACAGACATGTTAGAATTTAAAAACAGCCTTCAAGTCAGGAAATCTTTATCCATTTTCTTATTCAAAATGCCAGTTCTGAGCATAAACTACAGCAGCACACAGTTGATTGTCAATAGCTACCTGGTGGGCACTCTGGAGCTGCAGGAGGCACTTTCTCAGAGAACATTACTGCGATGGTGTTACTCACATACCTTGAAGCATTGCGTATCTGTCAGGAACCGTGTCGTCTTTGTCTTTTTCTTGTTTTTCTTTCTTCCTAAATGGAATAGGAGCTGAAAATGCAAGGTACCTCATCAAAGACTACTCTGAGATAATGGCCAAATAGCAGAAACTTTAAGGAAGGGGCTAATGCAGAAAATTTTTATCAAATCAATTTTCATTAAAGCATAAGCTTATCCATGGGGTAGAGCAGTACTGTACCTCATCATCTATAGCCAGCTCCACCTTTAACAGACATGAGGCCAGGCAAAAGTTTTGCCTTCTGGGTGCAGCACACTCTAGGGAACTACCAGCCAAGGGAATCAGGTAGCTTCCCATTTTTATTTATATATTTATTTATACTTTAATCATAAAAGTGGCTAAAGATATAATAAAGGCAGTGTGAGCTCCGATTGAAGTACCAAACCCAGAGAGACATGATCCTACCTTTGGGCATGGCAGACACAAAACGTTTCCTCCACCAGGGCTTGTTCCTGTCAGACTTCTCATCGTCACTGTCTTTCCGTTCCTCAATCTATGGAAGGGCAGAGTCTACATTTGAGCATTTACCAAATCAAGTGTAAAGAGAAAATTTCTCCTTCACATCAGTTTTTGCAACACTGACTGTAAAAACAGAACTACAGCAGAGCACAAAGAGCAGATTAAGTCAGAAATACCTCTCCTAAAGAAGACATCCTACAAATGCAAACCCATAGCCACAAAGAACCTTAGATTTAATTTATTTTTTTTTTAAAGAAAATTAATTTTCAGGCTGCTGAAGCAATTTGACACTACAATGAACCTGTTTTTGAAGTACCACCAAATCCACTAAACCTCATCCAGTCAATTTAAGAAAAGCCAGATCCATTTAAGCCACTATGAACATATGCAGCTTTATCTTAAAAAACATTATTGGCCAACATTTAATGGGTAACAAAAGTGTGTTGTAATTCCTTGGCTAAAGACATTTCATTCCAACTTTCTGGCATTAGATGTGTAGCTAAGGTGGGCATGAGAGACAAAAATAAGCTGATGAATAGAAGCCTCACCTCTCCCCTGGAGGAGTCCTTGCTGGGAGATGAAGAAGACGACTGAGAGGTGGCCACCAGCACCGCTGCCCCAGTGCTGCTGGAGGCCATGGGCAGCTCCCTCTCCTCGTTCCCAGCACGTCTGTTCCACCCAGGATCACTCATAGGCCTCCGGGCTGAGGACACTATGTCTGAACTCCTGCTGCGGACCAGCCTCTCCGGGTAGGAATGTCTCTGCTTGAAGGCTTCCAGGTCCGTTGGAATCAAAGCGTGAGACCCAAAGTTTGGCAACCGGGCCTCGTTGCCTCCCACGGCTCCTTCCAGGATGGGGGGGTCTGGGGGTGGGTGAGAGGGTCTTGCATAGTGCACTTTAGGCCTTACTACAGCTGACACACCTGTGGGAACAAGCAGAAAAGAAGCCACATACATTTCTTTTAATATTATTCCAAATTACCTGACTAGTTGGTACTAACATAGGGGCATCGAAAATGCCTATTTTTAAAACAAAGCTTAATCTTTACAACTCACCCTCATTTGAAGACAGAGGGTCAAACAATGCAAGCAAAGAATCTGTCTGAGAAGGAGGAGATGTCAACTGACTGGCTCCTGAAATACAGAGAGAACAAAGTTAGTGCTCTACCAAAACTCCTAACATGAGAGACATTGGAAAAACAGACTTCAGCAACAGAAGTTTATAAAACTTATACTGCAAAGTATTTGTAAAGGTATTCCTGTCTGGAAAGAACTCTGTAGTACATTGAAATGATCTAAGAATTACATCACAAAATTGGGAATTCTTGAGGAGCAGCCCAGTCCCAAAATGCAAAAGGACAGTCAATGTAATCAAACCAAATTAGGGATCCTAGCTCTAGTACCCAAGCTCTAGTACTGCAAAGCACTGGAGTCTCTTTGTCAAACAAACACACTACTGGCAAATAAGGAAAATATTAAGCTTAGTCACCAGCACTTTGAAAGTGAGGAGAAATTGTAAAATTTAAGGATTCCATAAATGTCACTTGTTTTTATCAGAGATTCCAGATAAGTAACTTACCATGGGCTGTTTCATCCATGTCAGGACTTGTTACAGAATCTTTTCCCCCAAAGTCAGAGCTACATTCAGACCTGAGATCCTCAATCTTGTTAGGAATGTCTTCAGATGTTGCACTAATACCTTACACATAACAAAAGAAGCATCTGTTATAGTCTTTCAAAGAGCAAGGAAGCAAAATCCTGAGGCTGTCAAAATGTTTGGTGGACAGTGAGTAATCAAGTTCCAACTCAAAGTAGCACCTACAGACACTACAAATTTCTGTACTCATAAAATAACAGTTTATTTCTGCTCTACATATTCAAAAGTGTTACCATAGCCATGAATGCACTCTGACAAGGGGCATCAGAAAGACTTTCATATACTTTATATTTTATATCAGAAACACTTTTATATACTTCGCACAAAATCAAGAACTAGAGCTATGATTTACTTAAATAAAACAAGTTGTGATAATAAAACTAGAAAGTTTGGAGTGTCTTCCAAAGCAACCCTCCTCTGCTAACCACTGCTACTGCAGCACACTCTGCTGCCTTTTTTATTTCTTCTGTGAGGTGAAGGAAGAATCACTGCTTTAAAAATTCCAGAATGAGCACAGAAAGTTATTTTATGAGTGAAGTGATGTACAAATACAGCACGTGCAGCAAAGTGAGTGCTGACCATGCTGTGATGGAGCAGCATTGCCAGAGATAGTTGCACACACCTGACACCACGCTCAGGCCGGGGGTGCTGGGCCGAGAGCTGACCTCCCTCACATCTGTGTCATCAGATGTGCTTCCCAGCCCAGAGCAGCTCTCCAGTTCTTGAAGTCTTTCCTCCTGTTTTAAATCTGGAGCCTCTACAAAAGGGAGACAATGCAGAGTAGAGAGAGGAAGTATCATTACTCAGTGCCATGCTCCCTAAATATTCACAAGCAGAAGGAAGGGGTGGGAGGTGATTTAGTGTCTCAAGTTTTAAGGTAACTCAACCACTTCAGCAAGAGCTTTATTATATCCTCTGGTACAGGAGGCAGGACTCTGCACAGACACCAATGCTCTGTCTGCACAGCCATGCAAAGGAGTGTTTACTGTTTTAATTGTTGTATTTCTTAGACAACAGGGTACAGTCACATCTTCACTAACCAAAGTAAACCATGGTCATGGATAGCTCCTACCAGAGGGAAGGAAAGCAAGAACAAGTTTTCTTTGCAAACCCTTTCTTCCCCTTCACACTTTAAGAATTTCTTAAGTAACAGAAGTCTCTCCCAATGCTTTTCATCTTCTTTCTGCCTAGGAGTATTTTGTCCTTTTAATCCTGGAAGTGTTCACAAAAACTAACTTAACCCTAGGACAGTGATTTCTTGAAAAAAGAGGAAGAGGCTGATGTTTTGCATTCTGTGCCTCTGGAAGAGTCTTAGAATCATGCTAAAGAAATAAGCAAAAACTGCCCGATTCTGACCTGAATCACTTGGTAATACTTCCACACTCCACGCCTCACTTGTGGTTTCTGATATGGTTGAACCTGTGCAGGGATCAAGCAACACGGATCCTGAACCTGGCAAACACAGCAAGCTGCCTAGCATGTTCTCTGCAGCTGCACCTGCAAAAGTAAAGCCGGAGCATATGGCTAGAGCTGGGCTTGGGGAGTCAGCTCTAGAGAGAAAAGTAAGAACACATCCTAAGTGTCCTTAATAAAGCAATCAGAAAACACAGTGTTGAAACGAGTAACTAAGTACAGTCCAGTTCATGCACACAAAAATCCTCCTAGAGCACATCTCCAGTTGAATCCATGGAAATTCCCCTGTTGAGGGAGGGAGGAGGAGGAGGAAGAGGAGGAGGAGGGCTCTGCAGCCTTGGGTTCCAGAGCAGCACAGCACCTACCCAGAGCACACCCGTTACCTGCGATTTCCTGCAGCCGGTCCTCGTCGATGTTGGGGTCAAAGTCACTTCCCAAGACATCTGTGCTCCAGGTTTCACTCACAGTTTCTGAAATATCTCTGTCATCAGTCAAACCCATCATGTCACGGATTTCAAACTTACGGAGCTTGTCATCCAGGTTATCCTGAGTTGTGGCTGTGGAAAAAGAAACAGTTCTTGATTTTCTGAAAGGCTTCTCCAATTACTTCAGACTGAAAACCTGGAACAATACAAACAAACAACCCCCTAATTCAGGTAAACCAGTGGTTTAAAGGAAGGCCTGTAAAGCACTATTACACTATCCAGGAATGCTGCCTGAAAACACATTTGAGACATAAGAAGAAAAATCTGGAAGTACACATGGTAATTTATCAACTAAATTGACAGAAAAAATAAATGAAATGTAGTGCCACAAAGACACTGATACAATTCCTGTAGAGGAACGGGATCACAGAAAAGCTGAGGCCTCCAGGGATCCTTCCAGCCCAAACTCCCTGCCCTGGTCAAGGATAACAGGTTGCTCATGATCATGTCCAATCATTATTTGAGTATCTCCAGGCTGGAGACACCACAACCTCCGGGCACCCTGTTCAGTGTTTGACAAAGGGACATTAAACAGAAAATTATCCAGATACTTCCAGACTACTCCAATCCAGATCACCCTATTCCTGAATTGAAGAGTTTGATATCAAGCAAAACTTTATGAGCAGTTTTCTATAAAGGACTTAAAGTCTCCAAATCCCAGGCAATTTCCTTTTCCTAACAACAGACTACTAAGAATATTTCTTGGGGAAAAAAAACCAAAACAAACCAAACCCACAAATAAATACAAGAGCAATTGCACAAGGAAAATTTATACTTTTTTTTCCTCAAATTGGTCAATTTTGCAACCTCTTTCCACAAAGGCTTTGGCCTTAGCATCTACAGCAGCTCAGGCACTTGTAAGAGAGAACTGGCACCTGCCTTGCTCGTGCTCCAGCAGCTGCAGAGCCTCAACGCCGTTGCTGCCGGAGGGGCCCGCGCCCAGCTCCGACACAGACTCCCCCTCCAGATCCAGAGAGGACACAGAGTTGGACCGATTGGAAGGACCTGGGAAAACAGATTTTACTTTAAAACTAATTTGAATAACAGTTCCTAAATATACAGCATTAACAATTCAGAACACAAAAACTCACTAGAAGAATTACAAGAAATGAAGTAGTAGTTCCACCACAAAATATTGAATTTCACCACTACCGTATACTTAGCTGTAACTTAAAAGCCAATAAAGTCTCTGTCTTTAATTTATTTACTTGCTCATGATATTTTTTCTTATTTTGAGGAGACAGAGAGCAAAAATTAAGTTCTGGAAGTTATACAATATAATGCAAAAGTGATGTGTCCAAACCTCTTCCATCCCACAGACATCTGTGCTTTGTTATGACTGAGGTTCATATAAAGGAGTTGTGCAGAAACTATTCTGAGATACATAACAGCTAATTAGAACATGATGAAAAATAACTGAGAAATCTAAGTTTAGAGCTAAGTTAGATTATCTTAATAACTAGTATTGCACTTAAGTTTGAATAATAAAAAATCAAAATCCCTCTATTTTCTCTTTCTAAACACACTTAGTCTTTTTATTCCTAATTCTCAGACTCAGTTATGCCTTTGTAGGTCAAATTTTATCTCCAGGCTGTATTCTCTAAACAACTAAGAAAGAAGACAGGCTCTCATGAATGAAATAGCACAGCCTTCAAAACAGCAAAGACAAGATGCTGTATTTAACACACCTTCCTTTTACAGTTAAGGGGGAAAAAAACCAAGAGAGCAACAAAACTTCTTCAAGACTTAAGCAGCCCTTCACCTTCAGATATTCCTTCCAGATTATCACTGCAGAGGGAAAAGCGCAAGGTTTTATCAGGTTTACCATGGAGTTTGTTCTCGTCAATGGGGACATCTCCTTGCCCGCCATCTGCAAGCTGCATATTTAACACCTGGAGGGTGGGAGAGAGAAACAAGACTTCATTAAAATAATCTATTTTTCAGATAATTAAACAGCAAATAAAACACTGGAGACATGTTCTTGTATTGTTAATGGAACAATCAAATTTCTAACATTCTGTTTGAGAAAAGACAGCAATCTCCCAAGTCAGAGCCTGGCGAGAATGCAAGGAACCACCCCACGGACATCAGGAATGTCCTGATAACAACAGAGCCCCAGCTCCCTCATCACCCTCAAAGCACAGCAGTATGGAAAGGATCTGCACGAGGCTGACAGAGGAGATAATCCCAACCACCAGGCAGGGAGCAAAGCCGGAAGCAGCAGCTGTGCTACAGCTGGAGGAAGAGAAGGCTGGAACACCAGCCCTGCCCTAGAAGCAGACTGCAGGCACTGATGGCACTGTGAGCTCAGCTCTGCCCTCATGAGAACCTGGCCTGTGCCTTTCATGAGCTGCCAAAAGCATCAGGATCAGCGCTCCAGTTCTGCCATTCACCTGTGTCCCTGGATCCAAAGGACAGAGACAGCAGTTCCTTCATTCTCAGAAACAAGGGCCCACGTTCGCTCTTAAGCTTCTCAAGTGCGGGAAAAAGCCCACCTAACAAAGGCCCCTTGGAAAGCTACAACCCCCAAGCTCAGTTACACGGAGGAAGGATTTCAATTCCCATTCCATTTACTACCAAAACTTAGCTTTGCAGCCTCACTGACGTGCTATTAGAGAAGACAGAGGCTGCACAGTTCAAAACACCTGAGATGTCATCATTTCTGGATACCTCGTTTTCTGACATCATTCCTGGAGTAATCTGTGGCCCTGTCCCCAAAGAAATCACCAGCACTTCTTCTGGCTGAACTTCTGGAATAGTCTCCTGGGAGGAGCCTTCATGATCTCCGTGCTGGTCCATTAGCATGTTTGATCTACTTCTGCTTCGAGTGGCTAAGAAAATATTTTAAAATATCCACATTAGAAAGTTTTCCTCCTTGTATAAGGAGGGACAAAAGACAATACAATGGAAATACAGAACTGTAGTGTTTCAATTAGCAATACACACTAAATCAATTTTCAAAATCAAAGTGTTATTAAACTTCTGAGAGATGGAGCTGGTGTTTAAATGTAACTGCCCTGTGAAGAACGAAACTAAAAGCTGAGGAGCAGAAAAACAAGGTACACTGTGACATGTTTGCCTAGAGCAATTCAGCCTATTCCAATCATAGAAAGACCTTTTATAGGTTCTATGAGAAAATCAAGTTTGTTACTTAAAAAAGGTCTGCGTTTCTGTGGTTTAAAACTCTAATTAACAATAATAATTTGTTTAAAAGATTTTTTCTCCTAAGAAGCAGGAAATCCTATCCTAACAGGTGTCTCAAACCCAGACACACAATACAACAACAGGTGGTTTACTCTGATTACTTTGCCACTCTTAAGTCCTCTTTTCATCTGGCCTCAGATTCCCACATTTGGATCCACAGAAGTAAAAACACCCACATGAAATTAAGGTTTCTAAGAATGGCAGCATGATACCAATTACTTCTTTATTTGACCCAAGGAAAACAAGGCAAGCGTGCAGAACTCGCAGCCAAATTCTGATTATCGCAGAGGGGTTTGTTCAAAATGAGTTCATACACTGCAGAAATCTGCACAGGGAGCTGATTGCCAGGGTGGCCCAAAGGCATGCTGAGTTATGTGACATGAGGCAAAGCTTCACAGAAGAATGGAAAGAGGGCATTACCCACCAAAAGGGGTTACTAGAGTTATGTGAGCTGACAGATTGGTAGCAGAGGTATCCCAGGCAGTAATCGCTGCCAGTTGCTGTCCTGGATTCGAAAGCATTAAAATGAAACAAAAGAACAAAATCTTTGAGCAAAAGCTATTTTATACCATAAAATAAATGCTGTGAAGTGCCACTAATTTAGAGGTGTAAGACCAGAACCATTCAAAAGCAGAGTTAAACCAACATGGGACAGGTTTGTTTTGGAGGTGCTTTTTTGGGGTTTTTTTGCCACTTATTGGCCTCTGTATATTTTCATCCTTTTTTTCACACCAACACCAAATCTCTCAAACAAAAATATCCCACGTGGTCATATTCGCATAAACACACACTGAAGAAGAGTAAAACACCTCCTATTTTAAAAGAAAATATTATTAATATGGAAAAAATCTAGACCCAGAAATCCTATTGAAAAAAACAAAACCCAAACAACCTAAAATTGCATTCCAGAATACTGACAGTTGGGATTAGAGCAGGCAAGGAATGGAGAAATGACAAACCTTCTCTTCTCAGCACATACTCTAAAAGTCCTGTTCCTGCTTGTTCACCCTCCTGTCCATTTGTTCTCTAACAAAAATATTAAACTTATTCTATATCCCACTAATTAAATGCCTCTGCTTCCATCTTACTACTTTCCTAAGCAATTTCCCTCCCTAGATCTGCTTCCCACCTTCAAACCCTCTCTTTATGATCGCTGCCAACCACCACCACGGTGCCTATCAACCACTCCAGCAATTTTCTCCAGTTCAGGCTGAAGTGATGAAGGTCATCCACCACACTTGCATTAGACACTAAGGAAGTTACCTGGTTTTCTACGCTAAAGAAAATTCTTCACCATCTACACAGAAAAAGTGGGAACTGAAGGTGTAGGTGAAGAGGTGGCCAAGGTGTCAGAAACCATGCATGAGCTCTGCTCGCTCTCCTTACCTATGGGCAGTCGATTTTTTTTGTTAGCTGGAGTAGTTGCAGGAGAAAGCTGGGGGGTGTTATACGGAGTCATTTCAAGGCTGCTGCTCTTCCCTTGTTTGTTCTGGGGTAGATTTGCCAGCAAGTTCTCCAAAGCCATCCGATCTTCCTTAAGTTGATCGCTTGACATCACGTTCCGCATGAAGCCAACCTAAACATTGACAATGGTTTTGGTAAGAACTGCAGTGCAAACCAGCCTGCTTTTGCCAGGTGGGAACACAAGGGTACAGGCTGACACTGGCTCCCTCCAGGAGCGGGGTGTTACCAGGGCAGTGAGCTGGCTGTAGGTCATGTACACCACAGTGCGGCTCAGCCCCTCCAGCAGGTTCACAGCCGACATCGGCGGAGTCTCGACCGCGCGCCCGTCGATCACCACGTCCAGGAAAGCAGCAACACAGCTCTGAGAGATAGCAGAGAGTGAATGAGACACCATCTCCTAGAGTTTGGAAAGAAACTTATGACAGGAGTTAAGTACTTTACAGAGCAATTTAAGCTTCTCTTCCTACTTCTAAAATCTTAGGATAAAACAGCAGGTTACTTTAAGGTCAGCGAAGAGCTAGCAAGGAAAATGTGCAGTTACTTCCAGTATTTCCTTTGTTGCTTTCCTGCACTCCTTAAAAGTGTTACTTACTTAAGTGTCCTCTTACAATTTAAGAGAAAAGAATATGGTAATAAACTGGCCCTTCCTGAAGAATCTGCCGAGCACAGACTGAAAATGAAACAAGGAAGCAACAATAATATCACTTTCTAATGTGAGTAAAAATGTTACTTGTGCAATAAATGTGTAGCTCTGTGTGGTGACTGTGTAACAAATAGAATTACCAAACCCTGCAGGGATACAAGGTTACCAGGGATACCCACAGGTTTTTAAACACTTGGCAATCTATCAAAGGTCATCAGCTTCACTGTTGCTCTGATGAAGGTAACTGCTCTATGGCTATGGATGATTCATACTAACAGGAAAAGCCGAATAAAAATAGCAAAACTATGCAAAAAAGAAAGAGAAGTTACTTGCACTAACACATTTCTTGGTGTTAAAACAGACATTATGCTAAGGTTGTTTCCAGATCAAAGTGTTTTGTTAGGTTCACTTGAAAAACCACAGACAATTCAGTATTTCACAGAATCACAGACTGGTTTGGGCTGGAAGAACCTTAAAGACCATCCAGCCCCCTGTCATGGGCAGTGACACTTTCCAGTAGACCAAGTTATTCCAAGCCCTGTCCAGCCTGGCCTTCAACTCTTCAGTGTTCAGCTGAAAATACTATTTCATTTAATTTTTTAAAATATTTTCTTTTAAGAAGTATTAGGATTAGGGTTACTCTACTCAGAGTAGAAGCAAGAATCCCCAGTCCTTAATTCTAGTACTCAAGATTTCTTTTCCCAGCTTTGTGCAGGATTTAATCTGCTTTTCATTACATGTAACTTGGAAATTAAACATTTTGTAAGTCCTTTGAAAAGTCTGAGAAAGGAGGTTGCAGAAGGATGATGATGTATTCACCAAGTCTTGGATTTTTTCAGCCTGGATTCTTACTTTGTCAAATTTAGCAAGGTTGCTCTTCGTACGTGGATCTCCCTCCTCAGAGCCTGTCATTGCCAGCTGCTGCAGAAGTCTCCCAACCTGAAATTAAAAAGAAATACACAGAATAAGCCTTTCAAACCATGGTAGACCCAATTAAAAAAAATATTCAAAAAACCTCCTCCATTCTAAATCCTTTTTCATTTAATACTCCAAGGAATACTTCTGATTGAGTGGACAGAGATTTGTGCTTGCTCTCAGGGAAAAAAAAAAAAGCAAAAAGGTTTAGGAAAAAAAGGAGTCATTGCCTTTAACAAGAAAATGTGCACACAGTAGGCTGTGAGCATCCATACTTCCCCCTCCCAGGAACAAAGCATGTTTTGTTTTTGCAACACGTCAGAATTGAGAGTTGAATCTAGGTCATCTAAACCTAGAGATTTTCAAAGGCTGCATATATTTTACTACAGAAAAATAGCAGGAGGCCTAACCCTTATTTCAGAGCACATATCCCTTATTCATCTCCAACTGCAAAACAAGCCTCAATTTAAAGAGTTGCCAACTGCTCTGCTACAGCACATGAGCAGTGACACAGGAGAGAATTGCTGCTGGGTTTTAGAGAAACACTGAGTAAAGCTCACCAGCGTGATTGCACTGTGAGAATCACTCCCTGCCCACTTTACAGACAAGAGTAAAAAGCAGGTTTCATTCCTCTCATGGAGGAACATCCTCAGTCAGACAAGTGTTGCTCAACACCTTCAGATGACTCCTCTATGTAATATCATTAAATTGTCCAAGTGTTTGCATAATTACAAAAACTGGTCATGAGGGCTGGGGAATGCTCCAAGCAGAGCATTGGGCACTACTGCCAGACAACATGGGGTTTTCATCAAAGTATTTCATTATTTTTTTGCAATATCTGGTATAATATTTAACAATAGCAAGAGCAGCACAACATCCTCTTTCACACATTCCAGAATTCATCTTATAGTCATTTTCATGCCTTAGTTTCCATCCCTTAAAACAGCTTTTATAAAGGGTATTTGCAACTCTTCTAAGGGATACAGGAATACATGCTGCAAATTTCTTCAAGTCAGTATTTTAAGCAAACAGATAAACTATGGAGCCTGCCTTTTCAGCAACAAGTAACACAAATATTTCGTTAGCATTCATTTTCTAAGTAGGCCAGACAGTACCTTCACTTTTACTGTAGTAGCATCAGTTCTAGAGGGACGAAAAAGGCCATTTATATATTTTAAGACTGCCTTACTGTGAATCATACCTGCATCAGATTAAATCTTGCCACCTCATTTATAGGAGCATCAGAAATGATGCCATACTGCTCTGGGTTGACGATGGCAGGGCAGATGAAACAGGCCAGAAGGAGATCTGTGCACATGGCTCTGACCTCCCCAACCTCCAGCCTGTCCACACACGACAGTGTTTTGTACATCTGCGACACAATCCACCTCAGGCTGTGAGGAAAACAGTACGTGTTTTGTTTGAGATAGCCAATGAATTTGTTGACCAAGGTCACCAGCTTGGCCTCGTTGGAGTCAACCATCTCTTGGACTCTCTGCTTGAACTTCTCTGTGCCTTTCTCTCCAAATAACTTTTCCTGCTGTGCTGGGGAGAATCTCTCAATTAACTTGTTTGCATCAGTTTCCAGGTGGTCTTCATCTTCAACCAGAAGTTGCATGATTGGCTCATGTAAGGTTGCAGTAAGAAAAAGTTTTGCAGAGAAGAGTCCTTCAGAGAAAAGCTTGAACAAGATGCTGAAGGCACAGGTGCCTCGTCTCAGCAGCCGCCTGGGGTTGTCGCTCTCTTTCAGCTCAAACTCAATCAGGTACCGGAGCACCTGCAGGAGGTAACTCTCATCCTCCTGCATGATGCAGTTGCCATAAATGGAGGTGAAGACTGTGTGAATGACGCTCTGGGTGTTGTCCTGGTTGAGCTTCTCTCCGGCAACCAGGCAGGATGCGATAAGCCTGGGGTTCTCTCTCAGTCTGTTCAGGAATTCTCCGTAAGCAGTCTCCTGAAATCCCAGCTGCTTGTATCCATCCACAAACTGCGTGTCCTCCAAGATTTTTGCGTGCTGGCAACATTCAGCAGGAGAAGCTTCAGCACTTTTAAAGAAAAACATTGGAACAGCTTAAGTAATTCTTAAGTAAACAAACTTACTAAGAGATGCCACATGATCTATCTATTAACCAGGCTGCCACAGTGGAAAAAGGTCTTTCCAGATAGTTACTGCAAATTATTTTCAAATTCTGGAGAGCTTGTTCTCATGAACAGAAGCAAAACAAACACGGGTATTAAAAAAACACTGCTTAAATGGCCAACAAGTAGCTTTTGGAGTAAGACTCCCTAGCTGAGGGTTGGTTTACAGCCTCCCTATTTTTAAGATCAGTACTGCAAAGACCTCCCGATTCTGCGGATTACGTGTACGTGACAGAAGCGTGGGGTGCGCTGCCCCGGTACCTGGTGATGATGAGCCTGTCGAGGTTGATGCGCTGCTGTTTGGAGATCCAGGCCGTGCGGTACAGCCGCTCCGCTGTCTTCAGCACGTCGGCGTTGAGCCTCTGGATCAGCTGCTTCTCCGAGGTCACGTACAGCCGCTCCTGCTTCAGGTGATGGGCCAGCGTGTGGATGTCCAGCTTCACCATGGTGGGCGGCGGGCAGGTGGCACAGCAGCCCTGGCACACAGCACGGAGAGGGTCAGACCCAGCAAAGGGAGCAAGTCCTGCCAGCCCCAGGGGTGAGCAGGGCTCACAGCAGGCAGGGAACGCTGCCGTGCCCCTCTCGAATCCCCCACTCTGCCCTGAGTCACTCTCTCCTAGCATTTCCCAAGTGGCAGTTCTGTTGCTCCATCACACAGCAGGGATGCTGGCAGAGAAGCAGATAGTATTTTCAGCTCACCCTGGTGAGCAGGAACAGGAGCACAGCCCTGCCACAGAGCCTGACCACACTCAGGTACACGAGGTGGGAGCCCAACCTTTACCTGAGGACATGTGGCCCTTGCTACAGCTCAGGTGACACAAGTTCAGGGAGATGAAGACCAGCCCCCATTCCTACTCACTGTCTGGGGAACAGGCACTCACTGTCTGGGGAACAGGCACTCACTGTCTGGGGAACAGGCACTTACTCCATCCTAAAGCCCATCCACATAACCCAGCACTCCCCAGGGATTTGGGTCTTGCAATCTCTGGCCTGTTACTTCTCTATGCACCAGAAGCACCAAGCTCCCAATGCTGCTCTTTTCTGCTAAAAAAAACCCAAAACAATATTACTAGTTAAGAAAAAACCCACCAAACCACAAATTAAGGAATATCAATACCCAGATAAGGCAGTAGTTGGAAATAAGTCTGGAGACTTTGCTCAACAGTGAAATTCATTCAAAAAAAATTCTTCAAATATTTCAATTCAGAAGAATAATTCTTTGGGCCATGATCCAAAAATGCTGTTTTATAGATAGAAAAACTAAAACAACACAGGCTTTCATAGCACAACAGCTCCACAAACTACTGTTCTATATGAAGGTAATATCAGTTTTAACTTCACAACTATAAAACATCTCAGCAGAGTACTGCACCAGACAAGATACATTCCAGGAGCAAATCCATCTAAAAATTAAATTTTGCAAGGGAAAACCCCCATCAAGTGCATCATTAATAATGACAAAGAAAGTGGTACAATCATGCAGATCATGTAATTGATGTCTTCCCCATTAGAACTAACAGCCACACCAGCTAATTTGGGAAGGACAAGGGTTTGATGCAGATATGATCTATAACAGATCATAATATACCTGTCATGTGTATCAGTAATGGAGATGTCAGAGGGCTCTAGTGAGGAGCCCTTCAAAGCAATACTACAGTCAAAATAAAATCTTACTTCTCACAGCCTGCAGTGACACTGGACAAGCCTTGCTTCGCAAACTTATTTAGACCATGCTTGGGAAACTACAAATAATGTGCTAAATACCACGTGCTGGCCCAGTGCTCTCCCCTCCTAGTGGTTGAAAGATCTGTGTTTCACTGTTCAGCAGAGCAGGAGGTGATCCTCACTGAAGAATACAGATTAGCTCTCTAATTAGGCACAGGTTTCCCATTTGTTGGGTTTTTGCGGCCTGACAACCAGGTGCACTGACAACCATCACTGCTCCTTGTGTAATTAAGTCCTTCCATCTACAGTTTTAACCTCACAACCAGAAGCCAGGCAGACACGAACAGAGAAGCTGTCACAATGCATTAAAAATTTGCAATTTTATTACACTTCATAGTTTAACAGCCATTCCTAATAAACACAGAAAACTGGGTATAAAACTCTCAAAAAACCACCCAAACTCAAAAAGACCCCAAACCAAATTCAGCAACCCTAACCAGAGGCTGCAGCTGATGCATCCAAAAATGAGATTACGACAGAAACTTGAAGGATGTGCTAATTCAGATGTTTTTAACTAGGACAGTCTCAGAGAAATGATTACAAGAATAAACATTGCTGCTACTGCCAAAGTTCTTTGTGAAACAAATAACAACTTCTTGCAACAAATTTATTTTTGGTCTCAGAATTTAAGAGCTTGCAAAAAAACCCCAGCAGTAAACTTACTATTGCCTGCAAATACAGTAGTAACCACTTTTTAGGCTGTGAGCTACTGCTATCAGCCAGGAAAAGGAAGTTGAATCCATAAAAACACGTACAAACAAGACCTGCAAAGCTGCCTTCTGCCTTTCAGAACTTCCCACTGTAGGGCTGTGCATTTTCCATTTTGAAGTGTCAACCCACAGTCTCCGCTTTTCTGGACAGAAAGTCAGTCCAAGTGGATCTCCTGCTTCTAAGCAAGTTTGGGAAGGAAGACCCACATGGAGCACCCCTATCAGCAGCCTGTTGCCTCTGCTACAGTCCTATGCCTTTGTTTAGCCAAACTGTAAAACAAGTGTCTATTTTTGTGTCACTGGTTATAAACCGATTTAAGAGCAGACAAGCTGATTAAACAGCTCCTGAGGTGTTTCCTACACTTACAAGCAATTTCTCTCAGTTTCATCCAGGGTCTTTTTCTAGCTTTTTTGATTAGAGAAGATGTTTCCAGGATCAGGGATGGGCAAAGCTCCCTAAGAAGCCTCTGAGGAAGATGCTCTGCTTCTTCCTCCTCTGCCCAAGGCTCAGAGCAAGCTCCAAAAGCCCCATCAGCAAAAGAGACAAAGGTGTCCTGGAAACAAGAGACTTTTTGTGGTAAGGTATGATCATCAAAACAGCAGTTACATTGCTGGTAACCTTTCCTGGAGCTATGGACAATGAAAAAAGAAGAAATATACAAAATCAATATACAAAGTTAATACTCAGGAAGCAAACAAGACTCTGACACAGTCCAGAGTCCTCTTACACATGCATTAATCCACCTGTACAGCAAAAAGAGGTCAGACTCCTGCATTGTACCATTTGTGATGACACTTAAAATAACTGACAGCAGAAACCTTGGAAAGTGAGGTGAACACCCAATAGAGGAACAACTCGGGCACCTCTTCATGAAGAGCATCTCAGCCCTGCCACAGACACAGAAGCCCCTAGAAGCTGTTGCCAACTGCCATGCATTCTGACTTTTCCTTTTAAACTAATTGCCTCTCTGAACTCCAGGCCCAAAACAAGGCTCCAAAGAGCACCCTTAGCTTCATCTGTGATGCTAAATATACCAGTCCTGTGACTACCTGATAACATCCCATCAGTTGGCCACTACCCACGTGTGTGTCTTATCTGCCTCTGCTGCAGAGCACCAGAAATAATGAAAGTGAGAGGAGAATTGATTCAGAACTAAGCCACAGCAGGTTACTGTGTACCACTGCTTTGTCAAGAACTGTGAAAATCCACAGGATTTTCCTGTCAATCCACAGGAAGACAACTGCATGACAGCAGCTTTCACCCTATGTACAAGAACATGGGATCAGCAGCTTCCCCAGCTTGGTAACCTTCATAAAAGTCAAAGTGGCTTGACTGCAAGGATTGTTGCTGAGATCCAGCTTTGTGGAATACCTCATCACTGCCTTCTACCACTTTTTAAATTAATTATTCTGAAGCCACAAAAGTACAGCAAACAAGAGCACAAGCAACTCTGTCTTCACCTGAGATCTCTGGCACACACCTGAGAACACCAGAGATGTAAAGCAGCAGTTTAACACACAATGTACTTCAGCAAGGCTCAGTGAAGAAAACCCAAAAATCCCAGTTGGGCAAGGTGCACATTCCCTCTCTTCAGACACTGGTATTACCAACACAGCTTGTCCTGAAAGAAGAAACTATTGAACCACTAACACACCTACCTGACACACACTGCTCCTCCCCAAAACCTCTTCCCTTTACAACAGTACAAACTGAAGCAGCTGCATCCTCTCACCAGGCTCCACAAGGTTCACTCCAGCGCATTTGGGCCAAAGCTTCAGCAGCACTTGGCCACAGCCAACATTTAGTGACACGCCACGGAACAGCTCTGGAGCAGAGCCTCTGCCGAGTCCTCGTTTGCCAGATTACCTTATCAGCTGCTCATAAACAAAAAGGTGTCTGTAATTATCCAGCAACCTGGTTTATGACTACCACACACCACACCTGGAAGAGCAGATATCTGTACACAGCTTAAAAAGGAGTCACTTTAGGATATTTAGATATCAAACAGCCTGCTGTGGCTGAAGGAACGACAGATATTTAAGATTGTGCTATGTGCAGATTACTTTTCAATCCTGGAATTTCATGTTGATGTGAAAACATTTCCATTTCTGACAGTTACTTCAAGACTCCTCAGGAACCTACAAGTAACTGTGACACAGTAAGAGCAGCTTTGCACAACAACTCAAACAATTTCCCTTCGTGATGTTCCACATATCAACAGCAAAGACTGCGTGACCTGACAGCATCCAAGGTGCCTTGCCCTGCTGGCAGCACGCATTTGTTCAAAACCCAAGGCAGTCTAGCCTTTGATGAGCACAGGACATCAACTGCTTTCTACTCTTAAAAGTCCTGGAAAACACAACATTGAATCTCCAGGTGCTGAATTCTACCTTACAATGTTTGTGAGTTTGTCCTGTGACATGCAGGAATGAGCCACATCTCTGTTGAGTACTTCTGTGATTCTGTTGACAGAAAAGAGATTAAGTAAAGTAGTAAATACTGCTGGAACACCAGATCCTTCTTCCTCCTCCTGTATTTCCTGCTCAGGGTTACTTGCTCCTCCTGAGCCTTGCTACACAAGGCTCGACTTCCAGAGCAAGTTTGGGCACATCTAACGTAGGCAGGGCAGGGCAAGGCAAAATCACTCCCTCCTGCTGAAAAATAACTCCTAAGTAAACCTGAATTCCAAGGTAATTCAGTCCTGATGAAGTACCTCTTTCCTCATTAGTATTTATAGTAGCATCTCACAAACTTTAATTCTTTAACTGCCTGTCTCTCACAGCTGAGCTAAAAGAGCCCTTTTATCAGTAGGATGGTTCACCATGACCTAGGACTCACTGCTGAACCCTCACGTTACAACACCCACCAGCTCAAACATGCATGCAACACACAAAATGCAGGTCCACTGTCTAATTGACATTAATAAGAAACTCATCCCTCATGCTTGTTTCTGCCCAGAGGCTGCTCTCAGCTAGCCCTGGACACACTGTCCATCCATGTGCAAGGAGAACCTCACTTCTTGTGCCCCATCATCAGTAAAGCACAGCATCAGCTGGCTACTAAATTATCTATTATGGCAGTGCTATGTTGCATAAAAGCCACAAAAGCGCATAACCAGGTTAAAACTTATTCCAGTTGCTTGTGATGCTAGAAAGTGGAGCTCCCTTTAGGTGAGAGTCACACTAATAAACTTTTAGTCAGAACAAGTGCAGAACTTGAAGCCGCTCAATCTGACAAAACCAACCTGTTCCCAGCCTGTTCTGAGAGCAGCTCCCTTCCCATCCACCAGGAAAGGCAGCTGCTACCGAGGAGAATATATTCTCCATGATCTAACAAATACCACATCAAAATCCGTGTGTTGAGCATCTTAAATATTTTGGAACCCTTCTCGGCTGCAGCAGTTGAAAATTGCTTCCTGAAGCCACCGTCCTGCTGCTTTTACAGAGTGTTTCAGGTTTCACATACTGCCAGTGCCATTTCCCCTCCATCCTCTTCAAACTGCAGCTTCTACTTGTGAGTCAACTGCATCGTCCACCAAAATAGCACTTTACCTATCGCTAAGTGTAGTGTCACATGCTCGCTCCGAGAGCTCCATCCCAACAGCTCTCAGGAGCGCGGTATCATGACTTTGCAAGAAAAAAAAAAGCCTGATCCTGCCTGGATCGAGTTCTCCAGCTTTAGGGATCCGTGAGTAACCGAAAAGGGAAGTCAGCACTCTCGTCAAGTTTCCAGTTTTAAACCTGCACAGCACAAAAGCCACGAAGGAGACGCGGCAGCGAGCGGCTCTCGGAGCCGCGAGGGCCCCGCTGCCAAAGGCTCCAACTCTCCAAATGCCCCCGCAAAGGGACCGCCGGTCCCGGGGCCACCGGGCGGGCAGGGCCGGCCAGGAGGAGAGGGGCACAGACGAAGCCCCGAGCAAACCCCACCAACAACTTCTGCCGCCGCCCCCGCACCGCTCCCCCCGCCTCCCGGGCGCTCTATCGCGATAAACCCACCCGACATACCCTCCTCAGCTCCGTCTCTCCTCGGCTGCCCGCCTTCCCTTTCGCTTCCCTGCAAAAACCAAAGGGTTTAGTCAGGGCCCGGGCCTTCCTCCTCCTCCCACCGCTCCCTCCTCCTCCTCAGGGGGAGGAAGCCGAACGCTGTCGCGGGATACGAGCGTGTCCCTACCCGGCCAGCGCCCCGGCGGCTCCCGCTGCGGCCCGGGCGGGCGCGGCACTGCGCAGGCGGCGACGGCGCTCCTGGGACTTGTAGTCCCGGGGCCGGCACCGGGAGCGGGGCCGGAGCGAGGCGGAGCGGGGCGAGGGCCGGGGACCGGGCGGAGCCGGGGCCGCTCTCGGAGCTTCGCTCCGCAGTCAGCCCCGGCTCCGCCCGGCCCCGGCTTGTGCGTGCGGGGCTTGCTGTCGCGACACGGCGGGGCCTGGCGACCTACTGGCACCGGCGGGACGGGCAGCGGCTGCCCGGGGACGGGGCCCGGTGTCGCCTCGGGGCGCTGGGCACACGCGTGTCACCTCATGCCCGACGGGGGTGGGACTGCTCTGCCCCGAGACCCCGCATGGCCTGGCCATGATACCGGCCCAACTCCTGGTTAACCGCCCCGCACTCCCTCCCGGCAGTGTCCCGGTACCGCCCGTACCCCCGGGATCAGCGGCATCTCCCCCCCCCACCCCCACCACCGGCGGGTTATTCCCCCCGGGCCGGTAACCATGGAAACTTCCAGAAGTTCCCCCCCCCACCCGCACCCCGCGGCCGTGGTCCCGCCCAGCCAATGGGAACGCTCCGCTTGGCTCACGCTTCTCTGTGGCCGCGGCCGGCGGGTGGAACCAATGGGGCGGCGCGAGGGGGTTGCGCCGGGCACGGCGGAGCGGTCGCGCCGTGCTCGCCAATCGCGGGAGGCCAGCTTGGTAGCAGCCGGCCAATGGAGAGGCTCCAGCGAGGGCGCGGCAGCCAATGGAGAGACTCCACGAAGGGGTAACGGAAGGTATAAAAGGACGGGCGGCGCGGCCTGGCGGCTTAGCGGCGATCGGGGCGCGGCGCTTCTGTGCGGTGAGAGCCGGGCGCGGTGAGGGCCGCGCGGGGATGGGCCGGTGAGGGTGGGGGGATGGCGGTTGAAGACACGGAAAGGTGGGGTGGGGACGGAGGGTGATTCCGTACGGCGGGGGCTGGGCACGGTAAGGGTGGCTGCGGCGCGGGGAGGGGGGAGGGGGGGCGGCCACGCACGTGGCGCCTCCGTTGTGTAACCGGCGGCCTCTCGGTAGGTGGGCGCAGGTGAGCGGTCGGTATGAGACTTCTGCTGCTGACGCTGCTGGCGCTGGGCGCCGTCTGGGCCGACGATGAGGAGAAGAAGGAGGACGTGGGCACGGTGGTGGGCATCGACCTGGGCACCACCTACTCCTGGTGCGTGGGGACAGGGCTCGGGGGGCCGGCCGGGCTGGCGGACAGTGCTTGGAGCCCTTCAGGGGAGGCAGGGCCTGTGGGCCCACGGGAGGTGCAGGGAAGTGGCTGCAGGCCCGGGAGGGCGCAGGGAGGAGCAAAAGGGGAGGCGGGGAGGGGAGGGGATGTGTGCAGGCCGCGGCCCCGCCTGACCGTTCTGCTCCCCCCCCAACCCCAGCGTGGGCGTCTTCAAGAACGGGCGCGTGGAAATAATCGCCAATGACCAGGGGAACCGCATCACACCGTCCTATGTGGCCTTCACCCCCGAGGGGGAGCGCCTGATCGGGGATGCTGCCAAGAACCAGCTCACATCCAACCCGGAGAACACCGTGTTTGATGCCAAGCGGCTCATTGGCCGCACCTGGAACGACCCCTCCGTGCAGCAGGACATCAAGTACCTGCCCTTCAAGGTGGGCCCCGAGTGCAGCAGTGGGGGGGCTGGAGGGGAGGACCTACAGTTCTGGCCAGAAGAGGCATCTGCTCATAGTGCCTCCCCAGGAGGATTGGTGTGTAAACAACAGTTCCTGATGTTAGCAGCACTCAAGTTATGCCTGTCATAGAGGTTTTGCTTGATGTTCAGAAAGAACCACAGGAACAAGTTGGAATAGTTGAATGGAACAGCATCTATTGTTTTCCTCAGGTGGTTGAGAAGAAAGCCAAGCCCCATATTCAGGTTGATGTGGGAGGTGGACAGACAAAAACATTTGCTCCTGAAGAAATTTCTGCCATGGTCTTGACGAAGATGAAGGAAACAGCAGAGGCTTACTTGGGGAAGAAAGTAAGTGCATAGAAGACACTGGTAACAACTTGGATTAGCAGCTTTATGAAACGAGAGAAGGGTAGGCTGAGTCAGGGCTAACCTTGCCATCCCAAACCACAGTCAGTGCTGCAGGCCCTTTTAGCAGCCCTGTTCAATGGGCTGAGGTGGTGCTGGGCCTTCATCTCTAAAGGTGGGCTGCTCCTTCCCAGCACTGCTCAAAGTGGCTGGTACTATGTACAGACTGCTTTTTCTGTAACAAAGCTGTCCCTCCCTCCCCACTCAGGTGACCCATGCTGTTGTCACGGTGCCAGCCTACTTCAACGATGCCCAGCGCCAGGCCACCAAGGACGCTGGGACCATCGCGGGGCTCAACGTGATGCGGATCATCAACGAGCCGTGAGTACCTCACCCTGTCCTGCCCCAGGGGAGCTGTGGGCTGGCACCCCCAGCTCTGACAGCCCATTTCCTGTACAGAACAGCTGCTGCCATTGCTTATGGACTGGACAAGAGAGAGGGAGAGAAGAACATCCTTGTATTTGACCTGGGCGGTGGGACTTTTGATGTGTCCCTCCTTACAATTGACAACGGAGTCTTTGAAGTTGTGGCGACTAATGGTGACACTCACCTGGGTGGAGAAGACTTTGACCAGCGTGTTATGGAGCACTTCATCAAGCTCTACAAGAAGAAAACTGGCAAAGATGTGAGGAAGGATAACAGAGCTGTGCAGAAGCTGAGGCGGGAGGTGGAGAAGGCCAAGCGAGCTTTGTCATCTCAACACCAGGCCAGGATTGAAATAGAGTCCTTCTTTGAAGGAGAAGATTTCTCAGAGACACTCACTCGAGCCAAGTTTGAGGAGCTGAACATGGTAAGTTCAGAAAGGTAAAGTTACACAGCCTTAGCTCTGGATTGGGTCTTGGGAATGTGCAGCATCTGATGCTGTGACATTGAACTTTGGAATATAAATAACTCTGGTATTACAGTCAGCTGTTGGCTACCAGGCAGCTGGGCCTTGCTGAGGCTGTGCCTCAGTTTGACGTCTCTGCTCCATAGTGGTTGTTACTTTTTATCCCCGGGGCTGCACAGTGGGGTGTGCTGGGAATACAGTCTCACAATCCTTGGGGTTTTGTCTTTGCAGGACCTGTTCCGTTCCACTATGAAGCCTGTTCAGAAAGTTCTGGAAGATTCTGACCTGAAGAAGTCTGATATTGATGAGATTGTCCTGGTTGGTGGATCAACTCGCATCCCCAAAATCCAGCAGCTCGTTAAAGAGTTCTTCAATGGGAAGGAGCCTTCTCGTGGCATTAACCCAGATGAGGCTGTGGCCTATGGGGCAGCTGTCCAGGCTGGGGTTCTCTCTGGGGACCAGGATACAGGTAATGACACCTTCACTGCCACCTAGAGAGCTGACTCCAACGGTGGATGGGTTGGGCATTGACAAGCAAATGCAGACAAACTTGGGTCTTTTCCAGTCCTTGGAGTTCTGTGCCCCTGAGGGATCCTGTCTGCAGTGTTGTGCTTTGTGCTGAAGCTGTGTCACAGTCTTGCCTTTGATCTGTTCCAGGTGACTTGGTGTTGCTCGATGTCTGTCCCCTGACTCTTGGCATTGAGACTGTTGGAGGTGTCATGACCAAGCTGATCCCAAGAAACACCGTTGTTCCCACAAAGAAGTCTCAGATCTTCTCCACAGCTTCTGACAACCAGCCAACTGTGACCATCAAGGTCTATGAAGGTGGGTGTCAGCTCTGGTGACCCATGCAACAACTGGAATTGGCTGTTGGATTTTCATTCTTGTTCCTGATTGTCATAAAGGCTGTAGGTACTTTGTTCATGGAACTGTGTCACTCACAGTTTCACAAAGTGCAAGCCAGAGCTGGGAAAGTAACCCTGTCTCATTGTTTCTTGCAGGTGAGCGTCCCCTCACCAAGGACAACCATCTCCTGGGCACCTTCGACCTCACGGGAATCCCTCCTGCCCCTCGTGGTGTCCCCCAGATCGAGGTCACCTTTGAAATAGATGTGAATGGGATCCTCCGTGTCACGGCCGAGGACAAGGGCACCGGCAACAAGAACAAGATCACCATCACAAATGATCAGAACCGGCTGACTCCAGAGGAGATCGAGAGGATGGTGAATGATGCCGAGAAGTTTGCCGAGGAAGACAAGAAGCTGAAGGAACGCATCGATGCCCGGAATGAGCTGGAAAGTTACGCCTATTCCCTGAAGAATCAGATTGGGGACAAGGAGAAGCTGGGTGGGAAGCTGTCCTCTGAGGACAAGGAAACTATAGAGAAAGCAGTGGAGGAAAAGATTGAGTGGCTGGAAAGCCATCAGGATGGGGACATAGAAGATTTCAAAGCACAGAAGAAGGAGCTGGAGGAGGTGGTTCAGCCCATTGTTAGCAAGCTGTACGGCAGCGCCGGCCCCCCACCCGGCGAGGAGGAGGCAGCAGAGAAGGACGAGTTGTAGATACTGGCATCTCTGAATGTCGTGTGTGTGTATATATTGGACTCAGGAACACTTGTTTAAAATATTGAACTCTTAATTTGGAATGTAACTTTGAATCTTCACTCGTGAGTGGAGCTGGAACCGCTAGCCCGACGTGGCTGTATCCTGCTTTTCGTTAGCAGTTGCTCGATGTCTGGGGAGGGGAGTGGGGTGGGGAGTGTAAATGTGGGTTTAGAAGTATTGGCAGTGAAACATTATTTAACAACTTGGTCATGTGAACTTGGCGTAGAGCTTTTCTACCTGGAGTGACCACAATAAATTTGTTATTTACACTGGACTCTGTTCTAGTTCTGTGATTTCCATTACCCAGCTCCAGCCAGGATCTGGAGGAACCCTAAAGAAGGATTGAGTGCAGCTCACCCCCTCAAGGTCACCCTTCACGAGCTCATGGAAAGTGGGAAGTTTGAAAGCAGGAGCTGGGCCTCAGTTGCCTTGGGATGAGCTG